GCTTTGGTGCGGGCTGAGCAGATGGCAGAGATGTCTCTTTCTGGGGACGGCTGGGAGGGGACCTGGTGATCAGGTGTGTCCCTGGGCTAGCAGCTCTCTCTGTTAGAGATGAAGCCACTTGCTGGCTTGGGAGCTGCCACCTGCTTGTTCCCCAAGGACTAGGCATGTCATAGCCCACGGGGGCTCTGCCCATGGCCCCACCACTGACCTGTGCTGGCAGTGCCCAGCCAGGGGCATCTCAGGGGAAAAGTGCCTTGGTGGGCTGTGCTCCCTGCACTGTGTCCAGGTGTCTGTCCCCGGGGAGGGGGGGACAGCAGTCTGAAAGCCATGGACTATGCTCAGGCATCAAGTGTGTTTCCCCACAACATCCCACACAGTCACAATGCCAGGGGCCAACTGAATTATTGCAGGTCACAAAGATGCCTGTTTGGCTGCAGGGGCTGCTTGCAATGCCCATCACATCTTCCTCCCAGTGTGCTCAGAGCCAGCTCGGGCAGCCACGTGTGAGCTGCAGCAGGGCTTGCTGCCATCATCCCCCTGGGCCACAGTGCCTCAGGTCAGCAAGGTGCTCACCCTGCACTTCACTAGGCCTGGTTTCACCAGGGCACAGGCCAGCATATTTTTCCTGGCATCCTCTCTCACATAAAGCAACTCAAGATGCTGCAGGCCCTGGGGCCCACACTGAGACATGTGCTGGGGGGATATTTCCATCCACTCCCCACCCAGCTGGTGGGATGATAGTTGTGCCAGCAAGGAGACAAAGCCCAGCTGAGGCATCTCTGGCCCCACTGCAGCACTGCAGGAGGGGATCCCTCAGCGCAGAGAGCAGCAGGACCCCGTGACCCAGCTGGGCTGGACACGCTGTGGGGGGCTGGGCTGTGCTGTGGATGCTGGCACTGGGCACGTCAGGGGGTCAAGATGGCTCTCAGAGCCCTCTGACTATCCAGGCTGCCTGTTATAGGGGTCTAATCAGCTCAGCTTCACCTTCCAGCACCAGGCCACCCCAAAGGACCAGACACCTCTGCAGGTGCTGGGCAGAGTGCCATCTCCAGTTTGCCAGTCCTGCTGACACCCCTATTTCACATTCCTGAATGCAGACAGGAGTGCCAGCTCCAGGGGCCAGGACAGCCCTTCGTGCTGCACAGGGTGGCACACACTGAGGCTGCCTCCCTCTGCTCAACCCCAGCTATCAAATCTCTCATTAGTGAGGCTGGTAAAGGCAGTTTCACTCCCAGCAGATTAAAAAGGCAGATGGGGACATGCAGCAGTGAATGTCTTAACTGGGCAGACTGGGAGGTGCAGCTGCTGCCAAGTGCACACCAAGGTGGGGAGGGCACTGGGGCTGTGTTGTGGAGGGGGTGGTTTTTTGGTGATTTATTTTTTCACAAAAGACAGAGCCCTGAGGAGCATATGCTTATCCAGCCCCAGGAACTGCAAAGCTTTTCATCTGGGATTTTTTTTGGAGTTTTTTTTTGTCCCTGGAGCTCGGGGAGAGAGAACCCACTGCAGGTCCCAGTGCCACGCAGCAGCCGAGCCTCTGTGCAGGGGCAAGGCGAGGGTTTTGTCTTGGGTGCAGATTGAAAGCACTGCTTAATCAGCACTCTGCGAGACAATCCAAATTCCAGGAACTGGAAGGGGTTTGTGTCCCTGCCAGGCGTAATATCCTGCAGCCCAGACTGGCCCAGCTGCCAAAGCACACGGTATCTACAGCGAGGACCTTGCTGGGAGCCAAGAAGCACACGCATTCAGCTGGATACAGCAGCAGCACCGGCAAATTCCCGTTTTAATGAGCACTGGAAGGGGGGAACAAAAGAGATAAATCACTGGGTTCAAGCACTCTCCTGGCAGAGACGCCCACCGATGCTTTTATGACCAACAGACACAGCAGCTCGCTCCAGAATAAGCCATAATGGGACTGGAAGGATTTCTCTGTCATGTTTGTTTCTCCCATCTGTTGGCTTTGGGCATCCCCCATCATGGTGACATGAGCCCACACAGGACTGAGCAGGGCTTTGACTTCTCTGGTCTCTGAGCATCCTGATGCCTGGAGGAGGTTGACATGGATTTCCATAGCAGGGAATTTTTACTTTTCTCTTTACTTGAGGTAAAGTAAAACAAAACCAAAATTCTGTCTGAACAAAACTTTTCTCAGGCAATGCACAAACTCTGTTGCTGCAGTAAAATATTTCCCTCCTATGAACAGACAGAAAGGCTCATTTTCCATTTTCAGTAAAAGCTGTTAGTTCCCCCCAATCCCACCTCAAAACACCACCAAGAGCTCCAGCTACCCTGGTGCCCATCCTGGTAGGGAAGGAGAGTGAGGCTTTTGACGGATTTTTGCATTTCTGGAGCACTGTAGAAGTCTAACACATCCAGAGCTTGATTTCTCCTAATGCATCATGAAAGGAGATCTTCCTTCTGACTTAAAGGTCATAAAATTTGATCTTTGTATCTTCTGATGTGAGAAAACCCAGGCTGAGCTCCTGTACATTAATTTGGGATCTCCTGGGAATGAAACACATTGTTGAGCTGTAACACAAGTGAGATCAGTCCTGAAGTATGAGGAGTTCAGAGTCATCCTTCTTGCTAATTAGGACCAGATCCTTGTAAATGCTGAATGCCTTTGTGGAACCAAGATGAACCTTGAGGAAGAGGTACTGGAAAAGTCCAATCCCACACTGAAGACGTGACCATCAACAGGGACAGGCAGTTGGGTTCTCCTGGAGCCTTTCATATAATGCCCAGCACCTGGCTCTGCTTCAGAGGTGATGTCCTCTCATAACCCACTCTTTCTGCTTGTGTATTTGCTGGGACATGAGAAAAACTAAAAATAGAGGTGGAAAAAAACCCTTTCCCATTTTATATATAGCCATGCTGTGGGGAGCCAGCAGTCGAGAGCGTGGGCAGGATCCTGCACATGTGGGTGTGACCACCCAGGCTGGCTCAGCAGGGCAGCACAGAGCAGCCCTGCCCTCAGCCTGGCTACTGACCCCTCTCCAAAGGCCACCTGGGCACTGGCCCAGCCCTGAGAGCTGTGATTTGCTTCTTTTGCGGGCCAGGTCTTGACAGGAGCCTGATTCTTGGAGCCTTTAGTACCAGCAGCAACCCTGGCTGAAAACACTAGAAGAGTAATGCTTTAGTGTCATGAAGTAAAGAACACTAGTTTTGGGGTGTTAACTGAGGTGTCCATCAAGATTAATTTGATCCTACATGAACTCCTGGGTCAATAGCTGGGTGTCAGCCCCTCACCACTCCCCTCATTTCCCGTGGCACTGTCGGAGCTGTGATTCCCACCATCAGCCAGACACTGCCTGTGAGGGAGCTCTGAAGGCCACTGGCTCCAGCCAGCACCAAGATATAATTGGAGCCTTTGAAAGGTGAGAAATTTTTCCGCTGGCTCTAGAAATAAATGTCTCTGAAGTCAAGTGCTGTGGACGGTAGTTTCTCGCAAAGGTATTTTTTACGGTAACTGGGCTAAGTTTAGAAATTCACTTAAATAACATGGAAGCTCCTCTCAGCACAATTTGGAAGATAGTTAGTTTGCTGTTTGCTAACAAATTGGTGCTTGGCCCAGCACTTTGGATGTGTGATGGTCTCACTGCTCTCCACCAGGGTGAGAAGAATGTCACAGCTCAGTGGGAAGAGGGACCCATCGCACCACGAGTCAGCTGAAACTGAGATGGACCCAAACCTCGGAGCTGAACATCAGCTGTGACCTCCTCACCAGCCACATGCAGGCTGGTATCAGGACTCACTGCTCCACCACAGTGCTGTGCCCATCACCCCGTCCCCACTGCAGACCCACAGCCTGCCCATTCAGGTGCAGCCCACATCCAGCTGTGCCTGCACCCATGGACACAAACAGCAGCCCTGGAAACATGGTGCTGGAGGGGGTTTACTGTGCTTGCTGCCTGCTCCCCAGGCTTAGTGGTGGGAAACCCATCAGTCCCACCCAGAGCTTCTGGTTGGAGCTCCTCATCCCACCGGTCTGCACAAAAGGGCACCATCTGCTGTGAGCTGAGATCATTTCTTCCCTCATCACTGGGCACAGTAGGGGCTACCTGTGGAGTGGTTGGGAATGCTGTGGCTCCAGCAAAGGGCTGGATCAGCTGCTGGATGGGGCTAGTGGATCACAGCCCCGAAAGCCCAGACCCAGCGAAGTGAAGTCAGGACACCCTGGCAGCCTCACCGTGTAATTTGCTTGGCCGGGGATGTGCCACAGCTTGACTGCAGCCCCTGTGTATTCACTCCATCTGTGTTAGCCTGACCTTGCCCATGGCCCAGGAGCAATGGGGAGGGAACAGCAGCAGAGCTGGGCACACTCAAGTGCCAGGAGCTCACATCCCACAGGCATCCGGCCCTGTGGTGGCCGATGAGGACCAGGGCTGATAAGGTTCCTGCTGCCTCATCCTCCCTGCTGCTGCTCGTGACTTTGAGCTGTCCTGCGTGGCACAGTCCAGCCTTCATCTTGCCAGCCGATGTGCTGGTGCCAGCCCCCGCAGAGGCACCTGGCAGGCCGGCAGAGGTGCTCGGTGAAGGAAAGGACAGAGCCCATCTGCCCCGCGGCCGGCATCTCGGACAGCAAACACAGAGCTCACCGAGACAGCTGTTGCCTTTGGCACGGCCCTCGCCCCGCTCCGCTTCCCCGGCAGCCGCGGAGCGCGGAGTCACCGCGGCGTCCCGTCTGCTGCCCGAGTGCTGCTGTTCGTCCCGTCTGCTGCCCGAGTGCTGCTGTTCGTCCCGTCTGCTGCCCGAGTGCTGCTGCGGAGCTGAGCCTGCCAGGGCTCTGTGCCCGGGTCGAGCCCCCGTGCCCGGCTTTCCCTGCCCTGAAATCAGTGGAAGTGAGAGCCATGCGGGAGCACCGTGCCCCAGGCACTGGAATGGGGGCACACCCAGCTCATGTCCCTCAAAGACACCCTCAAGGGCTGTGCATGTTCCCAGCTGGACCCCGTTACAGCCCCTGCACTTTCTTTTGTGTTTTCAGCATCCAGCTGCAGGTTCCTGGCTGAGAGAAAGGGAGGGTGGCATTGCCCCAGGGCCCATGTCCAAGCAGGAAGGGTTCTGGGTCAGGTTTGGGCAGGGGGTGAGGAATGAGCTGAGGCTCATCCTTCTCATCTGGTGCTCAGCTGTTTCTACTTTTTCCCTTCCTTTTTCTTATTTAAGCTGCATTTTCATGCTGTGCTGATAAGCCTGGGAGTGCTGGTGGGTGGTTTGGAGTCTGGGGCTGGCTGATGGGTGTCCACATTTCCCCCTCCACTGGCTGCTGCAGTACAGACATGACACATGGAGTGGTCCAGCAAAGCCCTGTTTCCAAAACCAACACCCCAAACCCCTGTAAGTGGGTTGGGGGGATGTCAGAAACTAGAATTTGATGAATTCATGGAGTAGATGACTCACAGTGTTCACCATTAAACCTGCAACAGCAGGAGGGAGATCCAGTGTGCTCTGGGGCTCTGTGAACAGCTGATGCCCATCTGGAGTAACTGGGATGAGTGAAGTGGTTATAAAGTTATAAAGCTACAGCAGCAGCGCTTGGAGTGGGACTGGTCTTCTCCCTGGACAAGAAAAAGACCTTCCTCCAGTGGTGGAAAGGATGAGGTGTCTCCAGGAGTTCATGGACCGTGCTAAGGGGAAAACCTCCAGGTCTCCTGGCCTCAGTGTGCTGTGTCTGCCCACCTCCCGAAGTGGTTCAGTAAATCAACAAGGCTCCCCTCTGTGCCTGCTGAAACCCCTCCAGCTGTCTCGAACAGATGACTGTTGAGGTGATGAGGAGGGTTAATTGACTCTGACAAATATTTACCTGTTTCTCTGGGTTTACAGAAACCTCACTCCAGCCCCAGCTTTGAAGTGGAGTTCAAAGCCCCAGCAGCTCTGACGTCTTGGGAGGAGCGAGCTCTGCCCAGCATGCAAAACTCTGCTCTACAAGGAGGGGAACTGCATCCCCCATCCTCCTCCTTGGGCACCTGGTGCAGTGCTGGTATTTTCCATCATCTCACAGGGTCCTGCTCATCTTCCCTCACCAGGGTAAGAGCCGCTTTGCCAATTGTTTGGGGCCTACGTTAAATAATCAGCCCAAAGAAAGGTCTTCTTCCAGCAAAGGAGCAGAGTATGCTTCTCATGTATTTTTTTTTCCCTAACCTCTGAATGATGTCAACAGAGATTGGGCTGAGTTGCACATCTGTGGTGGGGTCATATTTTTAAAAAATAGCTTGTTTGAACTGTGCAAATAAACACTTGTGAAAAGAATCCTGTTTCTTTACGTGAAGTTGGTAAATGCTCTGATTTAGTTAAAGCACTAGGACTTGGCTTTAATTTTATTTTTCACCAGATTTAAAGCTTGAGGAGTAAAAAAAATGTTGTGTATTCTCAGAACAGATGGAGTCTAAGCAGCAGGAGCACAACCTTCATCACCTACCTCCTCCTCCTCCTCCTCGGGCTGTTGGTGCCAGGGGGTGGTCTCTGTGCACTGCTGACCACCTTCATACCTTCCTTGCACTTGGTAAGATGTATTTTGGGAGATGCTCAGACTGGGATGTGCTTCCACAGCAGTTCTGGGCTTCTTCTTGAGGCAAATTCCTTCCTTCCCTAACCCTGGGGATGGCTGAGCTGGCCATTGCTCAGCACCCTTCACACCGACACGTCCTCCCACCTCACTGTCTTTCTGCCTGTCTTGGCTTTCAGATGACACCCATGGTTGATGACCACACCAATAAACTCCACACCCTGGGACATCTTGTTTCTTCTGCTGAATGTTGAGATGTGGTGAAAGAGCAGGGCAAGCTGAGCAGAGGTGTTGAGCTTACTGAACACAGGGAATACACAGGTAAAAAACTGAACAAATAGTTAAGAACAAAATTATATTGCATATCTAAATCAACCCTACAACAATCTTAAGTGCACTGGCTCTTCAGCACACCCTTTGAACTTTTTTGTAATTATTATTTTTTATCTGCAGAGCATTTCAATGGTCATTATGGTCAGGACAGATCCAAATCACACTTCCAGCCAACACTTTTATCATTATCCAAGCCAGTAAAGCACAGATTAAATATTATGTATGTATATATTTTAGTTTTACACTTAAATATTTGTAATTATATATTGGACTGAAATAGACACAGCTCATGTTTTGTGGCTGGCTCTACCAGTCAAGAAACCAGGACTGTGAACTGTGGTCCTGCAGTTAATCAACACAAAGTCACTTCCAAATTTTACACCTGAGTATATGACTGATTCTTTCCTGCAAATATATGAGCTAAAAATGCACCACTAAGGTCCGCAAAGTTCATATTTCTGAATTTGAATTAATAAGCACAGACCATTTCTGTCCCATATTTGATCAGTTGCAATAAGTGGCAGTTTCTTCATCTAATAAAAAGGGCAATGTTTTGGTACAGTGGCTCAAGGGCCACCCAGCAAAGGATTTTGTGGAAACTGTTGTTGAGTTTTAGGTGTTCATTTATGTAGGATTGATAATCCTTATAGAAAGGGAATAAACAACAAATAATGCTTTTTATGGGTGGCCAACAGAAAGGTTAATTGGTCTGGGCAGGAGTTAACTCCCAGTAACTGCTACTGGGAGAGCACTGCCTGCTCAGCCTGCATGGAAAAACCTGCTCAGCAGCTACCCCTGAAAGACATCGAGAATCAAATTAATTCAAACGTGCAGGTGGGGGGCTGGGGAGTTTCTTTGGCAAACATGGAAGGTGTGAATTATACACTGTGCGAAAAAAGGGGAATGTTTCTGCAAGGAGCTGCAAGTGCAGCCACCACAGCTGCTCAAGGAAGTCAGGCACTTTGAGATAAACATGACTAATTAAGGCCATTTTATGCCCAAGCACATGTACACTTAATCACATGAATTATATATTTTTTTTCACTTGTAATCTCATCCCCACTTCATCTGTTTATGGGCTCCTTAATTTGTATTGTAGGCAGAGTAGCTATTTTACATCTTTGTGAACTCTGCTTCTTTTGAAGCTCTTCAGACCATTATTGCAGCCCTCTGCAACCTCATCATTTTCTCTGAAAGAACTTCAGGAAGGAGAAGAACAGAACCTGTCCCGTATTCTTTTCAGGGTGTGGGGATACAGAGATTAAGGGACTTGCCTATGGCTGGAGAAGGAGTTTGTCAGTCACAAATAAAACCCAGCTCCCCAGAGTCCATGCTCATCACAAGACCATTCTCTCCTGTGAATGAAACCCCATCATTAGTCTGCTCTGCTGTGATCTGGCTGTGCCCAACAAGAAATGTAAATATTTTGTAGCAGTAGGTATTAATTTGTAGCATTAATAAAGTATGAGCCACTGAAAACTGAATTGGCTCTTTCTTACATTTTGCCCCATATGCCAAAATATTTTGATCTTTGGATGTAACCGCTAAACAAGCTGCAAATTCCCTGCAGCTCAGATCATACCCTTCCTGTTCACTTTAGGAGAGTCAGAGGGGAAATGTGTAACCTGCAGAGGTTTTCAGCCTGGGCTCAGCAATGGTTCAGTCTGTACAAATTGTCTGGGGTTAATTTCCACACCTTTTTCTAAAATTCTTGGGGTTTCAGCACAGGGAAAGACCTTTCCCATTAATTTGTGCAGCCACACAGGTGGTGAGTTACCAGTGTCTTTTTTCTGTGTCTCGACTCAGCATCTCCACTGTAAATAACACATCATCCACTCCCAGGTCAGCCTTGGTTCTGCCTGGACCGATGACAAGTCTGGGGCTCGCAGGAAGAGAATCCCTTCCCATCAGAGATGGGCAGCAAAGATCCAGGCCCCTGTGAGGGAAAGGCTGCTACACCTCCACCCTGGGCTGCTTTTCAAAGGCATCACTGACACAAGGGAACAAAGCGCAATATTATTTTTTTGATCTTTTTTCTAAGCCGACAGTGAATAGAGAAGGCTGCGGAGCTCCAACCACTGACTTTGATGAACGGCGTCTCAGCAAAGGGCCAAAACTATCTTCAACTCCAGGCTTAAGCTCCCATTAGGCAAAGAAAATTCAGCCCAAATTATGCTTATGTAGCACCTCTCATGCAAACACCCTGGGACGCTCCAGGATCAAACTCAAACACGATCAATCATGGAGATGTGAGCAGAATCCACCAAGGAAAACAGAGAGCAGGGGGGGCTTGGCAGGAATGAGCTGCCATGAGCACCTGGCTCCCCAGGGGAAGGGCTGGGGGCTGCGAGGGCCCCTGGGCAGGCAGGGGTGGGTGAGCAGGTGCCAGAGGGCTGTGGGAATTGCTGTGAGGCAGGAGGACAAGCTGGGAAGAAAGTAGGTCTCCCAGGTCCAAATGGGCTGTTAGTAGGGGGGTAAGTCATTCCCACCGAGTGTGTGGGCACAGGCTGGTGGCTCTGCCAGTCCTGATGGGCTGGATGCCTGGATGGGCACCCACTATCTCCTTCTGGTGCCCCTGGAGCACACCTTCCCTCTGGTGTTGACTGGGCTGTGAGAACCCGCCTTAGCCCAAACTGGAGTTAGAGAATCACAGAATATTCTGAGTTGGAAAGGATCATCGAGTCCAACTCTTAAGTAAATGGCCAGTACAGGGATAGAAGGACCATAGTGTGTGTTTT